AAAGTACTCTAAACTGTATAAATAATGTAAAATTAAATTGAATTTATTAGCCAATCAGACAAACTTCTTCCTATGAATTTAATAGTGTTAGTTAGTCTGGTCCGTCCGTCTTTCGGTCCTAAAATCGGTCTGACGATCATTAGTCTTAAAGATTTATCGCTATCTGTTTTTATTTTATCATTTAAGTTTAAAACACACATTCAAATATCTTATTAATACGAAATATTTTAAAGTTATTAGCAGCCTAATTTTACAATTGTTACATATGTTAAATATTATTGTAAATGCAATTTCTTTTTATGCAAATATTTAATGTAATAAAGTAATCGTAGCATTATAATTATCCGTATTGCAAATTTTCCTTTAAAGTCAACTTTTTAGACAGAATCGCCCTTGCAGATTCATCATCTAATCTATTCCTTTTATTTGAAATAGTAAGATCGGTTACAGAGAATGTTTGCTCAGAAGTCATGTTAGTAGCTTGTATAGACAATTAGTCTCTTGCAATTAAACTTAAAGTAGGGTATTCTTTTTGCATTTGTCACCATAATAATGGATTCGAATTATCCTCCAATGGCAATAGTAAATACATTTTTAGTTCATTTCGTAGACCACTTGATGGTTCATTAAAAGTATTAGAAGTAGATGAGATACCCAGAATTTAAAAAGCAGGATAAATGGTTTGGGTGGAAGAAATTGAAAATGCAGAAATATAGAATAGACAGAAGAAATAGATAGGGTGAAAAAAAATAGAAAAGATATTAGAAAAAGTGATTGTGCTATTGTTTCATAATAATTGAAAATAATTTCAAGCATCAATAAAATCATCCGTTAAGGTGGTTATTGATAATTGTTATTATATTTTAGAAGATTTAAAATTACTTGTTTTTTTTCACTTTATTACTAAATGTAAATTATTTGATTGCTGGATTAATAAAGATGAAACTTGTAATGTTTCATTTATAATTGATCAATATTCATTTGATTTTTTTTTTTTGTATTAAATCCTTGTTTTTGAGAAGTAATTTTTATTTAAATTCATAAAACATAGGTGTTTTCAAGGGTTCCCTCATATAAAAGGTTACAGCTAGTTACATGTGTACTTTTGGTATCTAATTTAAGTAGTACTAAGTATCATATCTGCAAGCCAACTATGGGTCTTGCCTATTTAAATCCTTTGCATATGCAACCTGACCTGTATTATAAGAATATCTTCAGAGCATAACTTATTTAAGTTCTTGATTTTTATTAATATTTTTAGAATTATTTTATCTTTAACAAAAAACTTTTTAGAGCTTATTATATTCTATATATAACTGATCTAGTTTTATATAACACACTATAATTACTATATTATATTATTTTTATTTTTATAAAGTTCATTAAATTTTAATACCTATTTTTTAATATGTTTTTTATTATTTTCTATTAACTGTTATTTAAACTTTGATTAAACTACCAATTTGGATATCTTGGTATAATATACTTCTATATTCTTTTCTTTAATAAATCTGATAGGCTAGTTAATTATATATTTTTTTATATATATTTTATGTCTAGTTATTTAATCTGTTTTTTTAAAAATAGTTTATAAGTTTTAATTAGTTTAATAATATTATCAAAGTTTATATTATCTCTTTAGTTAGAAATTTTCAAGTAGGTTTTTATTATCTTAGTTTTTTAGTCTTTTATATTTAGTAATCTTATTATAAGTTTGTACTAAAGTCTTATATAAGGGTGTGGGTCCCATAGCTTAGTGGTTAAGCTCCCATGCCCCCATAGTTAAGGTCAATGGTTCAAGTCTGGCTGGAGACAAAAATTAAAAGATTTTAGCCTCTGTAACCCAATAAGGAGCCAGTAA